CACCTCATACGCAAGTGAAATTTGGACAATGAATAAAGAAGACCATAGAAGATTTGATACATTTGAGTTATGGTGTAGGCGAAGAATATTAAAAGCATGATGGACTGCCAGAAGAACAAACTAATCTGTTTTGAAAGAAGTATAGCAAGAATGCAACTTAGAAGCCAGGATGGTAAAATTTCATCTCTCATATTTCAGACATATTATCAAGGAGGAGCCCTTTCCTGGAGATGGAAATCATGCTTGGTAAAGTGGAGGGTCATAGAAAAAGAGGAAGATTCCCAATGGACTGGATTGGCACAGTGTCCGTGCAATGGGATTGAATTTAACAACAATTATGAGGATGGCACAGTACTGGACAGTGTTTTGTTTTGTTGTGCATGACATCTCTATGAGCTGGAGTAAGCTGGACAGCACCTAACAATAACAACCACAAAAGGATGTATCCTTTTATCATCATACTTAATCTGTATTCCGAGCAAATAATAGAAGCTGGATTTCTATTATGTGAAATGTTAAATGAAATATTAAATGAAATTATATAGAATGGGAAATTAGAATTGGAGGAAGACTCCTTAGTAGCCTGCAATAAACAGATGACACCTCTTGCTTGATGGAAGTGAAGGGTACTTAAAATACTTGCTGAGGAAGATCAAAGGCTACGGCCTTCAGTTAGAGTGCACCTCATTGTAAAGAAAAGAAAAACTTTCACAACTGGACCAATGAATGACATCATGATAAATGGAGAAAAATTTGAAGTTGTCAATTACCTCATTTTGTTTGGATCCACAATCAACCCTTAGTCAAGAAATCAAACAATGTATTGTAATAGGCAAATATGCTACAAAAGATCTCTTGGAAGTACTAAAGAGCTAAGATACCAATTTTCGGATAAGGTACACATGAGCCAAGCCATATTATTTTTAATAGTCTCATATGCATGTGAAAGTTTGACAATGAGTAAGGAAGACAGGGGAAGAACTGATGCATTTGAATTGTGGCATTTCTGATGAATAAAAACTCCATGGATTGCAAGCAGAATAAAACAAATTTATCTTCAAAGTTTAACCAGAACGCTTTTTACAAGCAAGGATGGAGAGATTTTATTTGTCATTCTTTGGACATGTCAGGGGGGAATCAGTTCCTAGAAAAGGACATCTTGCTTCATATAAAGTGGAAGATCAAAAAAAAGGGGAAGACCCCCAACAAAGATGGATTAACACAGTGGCAGCAACAATGGGCTCAAACATAACAATTGTGAAGATGGTGAAAGGTCAGGCACTATTTTGTTCTGCTTTTCATGGGGTCACTATGATTTTGATGGCACCTAACTGACACAACGGCACTTAACAACAACAATAGAGCAACAAACACAGGTCCCTAGCATATAATTCTCCTGCCTAAACTATCACTGTATCCAGGGAGACAAGTGGCCACTTGGCTTTCCCTTTTCATTTTCTTACAATTCATGTCCTTTGTGGCCACTGCCTCATGAGCATGCAGTCAGTCATTTTGAGAGATTATAACGTCATCAATTCCATTAGAAAAGAAGTTCTGACGTAAACTGGATTTTGTAGTTGTTGTTGTTAAGTGTCAGTGAGTCAGTTCCGACTCATAGAAACCCTGTATAGGGTTTTCAAGGAGCAGTTGGTGGATTTGAACCACCAACCTTGGAGTTCAAACTGACCTTGCACTTTATCCTGTAGAAGCACCAATTTGATTGTTTTAGTATTTATATCCTGGGTGGTACGAATGGTTTGCGCTCAGATACTAGCCAAAAGGTTTGAATCCACAGAAGAAAGAGCTGGTGATCCACTTCCATAAGACTGCATCCAACAAAGCTTCTGTGGAGTGCGGTTCGACTCTGGCACACTTGAAATCACCATAACTACAAGCTGACTGGACATCAATACAATTTTATTCAATGTATTCTGGTCTCTCCGCTTTTTTTTTTTTTTCATTCAGCGATTCCCTCTGTGTGGAATAGCTCCTCTTCCCTATCCCATCTGTATCTGGTCAAGTTCTTTCAGGACTTTCCTTGTTAGGAGTCTTGGTGTGGCACTCTCTCAGACCTTTAAATGTAGATTGCAATTAATTTCTTCAAGGACTTGTTCTGCCATATCTCTTCTATACCCACTGTTACTGTTGTGTTGTTAACTGCCTTCATTGAGCTGGTTCTGATGCATAGCGACCCTGTATGGAGTTTCCGAGGAGTGGCTGGTGAGTTTGAACCATTGACCTTGTGGTTCAAACTAACTTTGCAGTCCAGTGCATGAACCCACAGAATCACACCAGGACTCCTATACTCCTTGTTGTTGTTAGGTGACATCAAGTTGGTACCAACTCACAGCAACCTTGTGCACAGCAGAATGAAACACTGCCTGATCCTGGGCCAACCTCACTACTGTTGCCACACTTGAATCCATCGATGCTGCCACTTTGCCAATCCATCTCATTGGGGGGTCTTCCTAGTTTTCTCTGACCCGCCACCTTACCAGACATGATATCCTTCTACAGTGATTTGTCCCTCCTGACAATATGTCCAAAGTATGAGGACGAAGTTTGGCCATCTTGACATCCAAGGAGCACTCTGGCTGCACTTCGTCCAACACAGATCTATTGGTTCTTCTGGCAGCCCATGGCACTTTCAATATTCTCCTCCAACACCATAACTCGTAAGCATCAATTCTTCTACGGTCTTCCTTATTTACCATCCAGCTTTCACATGCATATGAGGTTATTGAAAATACCATGGCTTGGGTCAGGCGCACCTTAGTCTTCAAGCTGACATCTTTGCTCTTCAACACTTTAAAAAGGTCTTGTGCAGCAGATTTGCCTAATGCAATATGTCGTTTGATTTCTTGACTGCTTTTCACCCCTTATTATAATTATCTCTATGAATTGCCTCCAGTTAGTATACCAGAGATTACAGAAAGCAGTGTTGCAGTTTGTTATTCTTCAGCATTTGGTACATAATTAATTTTTGAAAAAAAGTTATGAGCTTTTTAGTCACACCAAATAAGTCTCAGAATGTTTTATATTGTAAATGATAAATGTGGTACTTTGGTTAAAAGGACCTCACAATTTTGAAATAAATTCATGAGGAGTCCATCAAAAACATTATAGATTATGATAATATATCCACCACTGTTCACAGAAGTATATGGCAGAACGAAAGGCAGCTTAGATTGAACCAGACACCATGCCATAGAGATATTTTTGAAAAGTCTTAGAATTTAGAAACAATTCATTTGTACTCGTGACCACATACATTCGTTGAATTGATTCATTCCTATACCTGGATTCTTCATAGATATTAGAGTTGCAAATGTCATTCTGACTAAGATACATTTTTTCAGGACAACTTTTAATCAAGATTTGCAAGTCTTTGCAAATATATATCCTTTTGACCCACAAAGAAGGTGGAAGGCTCAAGGAAAAAGCTTTACTTCTCTGTGCCTCCACAGCTGCAGTTGTGGTCCCCCAATGTTAAGATGACTCTCTTGCCATGCTCAGGCGCTCTGAGAGGAGTGTTAAACATTGGGTCTCTGGAACCTGCATGGAAACTCCTGTTTTTTTTAGGAATTGTGTGACTTGAACCATCATTCTTGTTTCCACAACCGCAAACTGATACTTACACCTTAGTTCTATGTGAAAATGACATGACTTAAACCAGAAAATGGTTTAGTATTGTTGTTGACATATATACAATGTTAGGAAAAAATGATGTATATTAAACTTTTTCTTAGTATGGTCAACCTTAACTATTTTTCAGTTCCTCAAAAAATGAACTTCTGTGTTTCCTTTTGTTTTTATCAAACCTTTGGTCTGATGAGAAAAACAATATTATGGATTAATATTTCTCCAGTTAATAGACTGCATGTTTTGAAACAATATGCTTTGCTTTTATTCATATTTGTATATGCTCAATTTTCAGTCTGCATGGGTCTTATAAATAGAATAAAATTCTGTAATGAATGGGGACCAAGGTCTATTTGGTATGAGTACCGAGGCCTAGGATTCTGCCTTCTCAGCTTCGTGGAATGTGGCACATGAGAAACTTGAATTGCTTTGCTTACTGACTAAACTACAATTTGCTACAGAGAACTAATTTTGACAAATTCTATAAACAGAAAGCTTCCAGTATGCAGACAGGTCTGCTAACATTTGATAACATCTAGTTGTAGGTGAGATTTTTAGAAGATATGTATTCTCATGTTGATTTCTGGACTTAAACAAAAAATGCAGCATGAGTCTATGGAATTAAAATTAATGATAAAATAGTTTGTAAGCATCCCATAAGAGATTATATGTTAGTTAATGTTTACAGTTCATGGCCAGGTTGGTATTAGTTAATTAAAGAAATCACTTGGGATGAGGAAGCGCTCTGAAATGTTTGTGGTTTTTAATACTGTTCATAATAAGCCCCGGACTTTAGGGAGTATTTTAAGGTTCTATGAAACTGAATATATTTTCGCTTGGACTCATTATTTACTTAACTACAGGTCATTTATTTTGGCAGGAGAAAATGTACCTGTTCAATATCAAAGGCCTGTGAATTTCAACCTTCTTATATAGTCCTATTATAGCATTTAAGAATTTTTAGTTAAATGAAAAAAAATGATCATTTTTCTATATATTAGGATTCTTCTCAGCTTCTGTGATTTTAGTTTCCATAATTTAAAGTGCATATTGAAAATAAATTGCTTTATTTGATCTCATGTAGATTTTCCATTAATGAAGTCCAGTAGATATATTTAACTTTGTGTATACATCTATGAAAAATAACATATTCAGAAATAGCTCTAAGGATAACTGAATCTGTAAATGTATCCATTTAAAGATCTCACCTAATAACAGTTACCTTATTGCATAATAATATGAATTTATACTCATGATTATGAATTATTCATGCTGTGGGCCTATCTAGCTATTTTAGTTATGGATATTAAATTTGCTAATAAATTTCCCTGATACTGACTTCTGCATTTTATACACAGGACAAAGCCCTGCCTTACCTCCTCCATTACTGACAGGCCAAGCGTCCACATCCACTCCAGCTTCAACTACTCTTGAAGGCAAGTAGTTTATATTTTCTTCCAAAGGTTTTTTTCTATGTAGATAGAGTAGAATGTAGAGGTATAAAACAAAATATTTGCAAAAGAAGCAAGAAATCTTTCTTATGCAGCTTTAGTAGGTCTAAATAACTATTGACTTTTTCTGCAGCTCTAATTTGCTCTTATTTAGAAAAGCAGAAATGACCCTAAAAGGCCTTTATTAGTGACATTCACCTTCCAGGATGAACAGCTTGGTAACATTGAAGTCAAACCAGGAAGTAAAGGGAGACGGAGACAATGATTCACCTTGTATTTCTTGCTGTTTTATTTCAATTTGCTCAGTTTCTGTAGTAAAACTCCAGTGACGGTCTCTAGATTTGAATCTGAGCTATACCTCTTACTCATGATATAAATTTGGTCTCTGCTATTCTTGTTTCATCTCAGAGAAAATGATGCATGCACAATGAATTTATACAACTTCCTATATGTGTATTCTATTCTCAATACGTGTACGAGGGGGCTTCAATGTTTGTGATAAATTCATTATCTTTTAAATCCATTGCTTCATGAATTTTTTGAAGTCATTTCATATTCATAATGTTGCTTAGATTAAACAAAACAAAACAAAACAAAAACCAAGGAGAAAAGTCTCATCACGTACAATTTTGATGAAAATGTTAAATCCTACCTGTAAGACTTAATTCATTCAATCCTTCAACCATAAGAATATGTCAGATATTGTCTATATTATACTGTTGTTGTTAGTTATCATCAAGTTGCTTCCCACCATAGCAACCTTATGCACAACTGAATGAATCAATGCTTATATAGTACTAGAAATTCAAAATTAATAGAAAACCATTTCTGTCTGCCAAGAGTCAATTTTCAGATATAAAAGTACAGCTAATGTGGCAATGTAGGATCAGCACTGAACCAAAAGCCACACGATCAGCAGTTCAAACCCACCAACTTCTCCTTGGAAATCCTGTACAGTATCACTGTGAGTTGGAACTGACTCAATGGCATGTAACAAAAAGAGTTTAATTCAATGGAGTCCTAGTGTGGCACTCTTGAATAAACACTGGACTTCTAACTGCAAGGTCGGTGCTTCAAACTCACTGGCCACTCTTTGAAAACCCTATACAGGTTTGATATGAGTTGGAATCTACTAGATGACACTTAACAGCAACAACAACAATTAAAGTCAAATGAATCCCACCCTCTTTTATTTTTTGCAAGAGTGCAAATTGAGGTGTCCCCTCAACCTATAGCTACCTTCTTTCCCTGGCTCTGTCCCAAATTGAAAGAGATATTATGGGCACATGTGTGTATACCCCATTCCATGTGTCCATGTAGTTCCACTATGTCCAACAGCCTACTGGTTTTGACCATCCCTTGGAACTAGGGCTGGTCTCCCTTGTGAATATTCATCCAGGAAGAGGTACCTATAGGCCTTGGCATCAAAGTGGAAGCTGCTTGTGGAAAGAATCTCAGTGTCCTCAGACCTGGAATATATGAAGTGACTCCAGGTGGCCACACCCTTATCAATCCAGAGTCCCAGTTCCTGAATAGGATACAGCCAGAAGAGGGTTAAGCAGAGCCCTGTACATTGAATAGCATACAGGAATGATGCTGGTTGTTGTGGTCTAATAGATATGCTGATTACCACAATAGGAAGAAAACCAAAACACAAGTCAGTATAAAATACTGTGAAAGCCTAGAAAAGAAAATGTAGCACTGGTTGAAATAAGTGTGAGGGCCCCAATGGAAGTTTCTCAACTAAGAATTCCCAATTAGCAACATTTTATGTTGATACTTATCATTTACAGGTGCCAAATGTGGCACTGTGGGTTAATACACTGGACTGCAAGGTTGGTTGGAACCACAAGGTCAGTGGTTCAAGCTCACCAACTGCTTCTCGGAAACCCTACATGGGGTCATTATGAGTCGGAACCAACTCTAGGAAACTGAACAACAACAACAACAAATATTTCTAAAATCATCTTTGCACATAGAACTCAAATGTAGTTAAGTGTATATCGAAGGAAGTAATACAACAAAAACCAAGAACAAATTCATCATTGGTTACTACTATGCATTTACTTGGTGTGGCGTTCTAGGATAAGCATTGGACCGCACCACAAGGTCTGTAGTTCAAACTCACCAGACGCTCCTTGGAAGCCCTACACAGGGTTGCTATGATTCAGAACCGACTTGAAGGCACTTAACAGCAACACAGCAACAACAAGAAATTGAAATAAACAAATTTTTCTAGAACTCAGTTTCCTGTGTTCTATCAAAAGAGAGAAATCAGAGTTATTTTTATTCTAGCATTAATATGACACAAGTAACTTCTCACCAAACTGACAAGTGACTCCATCCTACTGCCCAGATGCATATGATGAAAGGCAACCTGTAAACAATAGTGCAACCTTCAGTTTCATAAGATTCTAATTCTGTTGTTGGGAACTGGACATAACATCAAGTGACTAAGATTCCCAAACTTGAAGTCTACTTTGGTAGCTAGATTATTAAAATGATGGTTCTGTTTTATCACTTCACATAGTTTCATAAAACACCAAGTGGCAAATGTTTTGTCTATCAATCTATCACTTTGCAAAGATGTGTCATTATCTAAGTGGAACATTTACGTTCTATTGTTATATCTACAGAGCAATTAAATTTGACATTTCATTCCAAGAACTTAGTAATATGTTTAAGTGAATAAATCAACAGTATTAAAGTTTGCGACAGTCTTACAAAAATTACATGCCTTTTGCTAGCATGTATTTGCAATGTGCACAGATCTAATCTTTGCACTGAGAATGCTAGCCCTGAGCAACTTCCTAAAGAGTCCAGGTTATCTGGTGGTGCTGAGAGCATGGGCTTTGTCAGGGCTTGCAGACTTGCTGCCTGCAACTTCATTAGCATAATTGATTAGGAACTAGGACATATTTAGTATTAATCAAGCTGTTTTTAGTGAGCTGATTATGCATAGTCCTCTTGATGCACTATTTTATTCTGGGACTTTCTTAGGACCAAGTTGTAAGAAAATGTAAAAAAAAAAAAAAAAAAGTGAAATTTACATGTACCATTAAAGCATTTTTGTTGTTGTTGTTGTTTAAGGAATACAATTATAATGGGTCAAAATGTAGGGGCTTAAACATATTTGCATGTAATGTTTAAAAACATAGTTTTAAATTAGGCTGAATTATAACATTTACTCATATGGAATTTGGAAGAAGAAAACAGCTACCCTGAATTCTATCAGCAGAAATCTAGAAAGTCATGGATCTTATTGTAGGTAAAGCACTTTACACATCTGTGGAGTTATAAGTCTTCTCTGTGCTTTCACCGTGCTTTAACAAATATGTTTCTCACCCCATTCACTTCATTTTGCAAAGCACTCATGCACTTCAAGTCTCAGATCACTTTGACCTTTTGTTGTGCCATCCTTGTTTTTTCTTTCTCTCCATACAACACAAGATTTGGATACCATAAAGAACGTTTATTGATTTAAATCTTTAAATATAAAGGGACTAACTTCATGCTAAGTTGTTTCCTCTGACATCTGCTCTATGCTAGATTATTTTGTAGAGAAATATGTTTGATTATCGAATTTTAACAAAAATAACATTGAAAAGTAGTTCTGGGGCTAGGAAGTCCAGACACACCCTTATGTCATACTGTTTTGAAGCATTAGTTACTGAAGTACAAAATTGAGTTGCACAGATCATAAAGGTTGTAAATATTTGGAAAATGTTCAGAAAACGATAAAATTTGAATGGAGTAAGGTAATGAAGTGAAAACACAAGACTTGCACTAGGCCCTAAATAATAAGTTGGTAGGATTTGCATGGAGAAAGAATGGAACACTATGTTGAAATTATTCTAAGATAATTTCTTACCATAGGAAGTATCTGAGGACAATGTTCTATAGGAGGTAGGAAAGCTTTATTTACAATTCTATTAAACCAAGAACTTTATCACCTTTGTTCTTCAGTGAGGTATATCCTGAGAAACAGAAAATATAAAATAATAAAATACAATTTGGTTTCAGTTCTTATTTTATTAACTCTATAACACAACAGATTTTATTGAACATTAAGAGAATATACTATTTTTTCTTCATTTTGTGGTGGAATAAACTCATGAATTTTGGTAATTTTTTACTTAATTGACCTTTACTTATAAATTTTGATAAAAATGCATGGACCAAACTAATTTTAGTATCTATTAAACTTATAAAGTTGCTGAAAATATTAAATGAAATAACAAATATAACAACTTAGCACATTTTATTGCACAGTTGGTGCTCAACTGCTATTAGCATTATCATTTTATATAAGGAAATTTCTCTTGTATGTATAGCAAATCATTAATTTTTATGTTATATTGGTATCTACTGAAGATATTAAGGTAATTGCATTTATGAAATTGGTCACCATAGGTGAATTTAATTTCTTTATTGAGGGCTGGAATTGTATCCTGAATGGTTTAATACACACAATTAAAGTTTTTGCACCTCACCCTATAGATTGGGTGAGCCTGTTGAAGCTACTGAGCAAAAGAATAAGACCTTAGAGAATAAGGGTATTATTCTCTAAGACCCTTACTGCCACCCCTCAGCAGTACACCCTTTCTGAAGCTATTATGGTTATCTAAAATGCAACATTCTTGGAATAAGGTATGAAGATTTTAATAGGCTAACACGATGCCAACAGTTACACTCAGGTACTAGCCAAAAAACATTGGTGGTTCAAACCAACACAGAGGCTCCTCAGAAGACAGGTGTGTTTTTAGAAGATCATGGCCTTTAAAACTCTTTGAGGTAGTTCTACTGTGCTCATAGGGTGTTGCCATGAGTTATTATTAAATGGAAAGCAACTAACAACAACAATAACAACAGCAGCATTCATGATGAAATATTATGTCACTTGTTTTGTTTAAAAATCTTTATTCAACCCTCAAAACTACTCCATGCAGTGAATATGGTTGACATCACTTTAAAGACAGCAGAGAAATTAAATAAGTTGCCTAAGATAACACAACTCTAAAGTGGTATAATTGGAACTGAAAGTCAAGTGTCTCTTACCAAAGCTCAATCTGTTTCCATTTTCTCAGATTACCAATTAGATGTTAAGGCTAAGCATAATTACTAAGGTTCTGGTCTGACTTGCATAAATGAATGATATTAAGAATGAAAAATAGATATTGGGAGATAATAATGAGTTCATTTTGGAATCCCTGAGTTGTGCAAGGGATTATTAGTAGGTTTAATGGATATAGTACTGATAAAGGCTTGGGCAGACTTACAGTGAAGTACCTAAGAACTAGCAAAATAAGAAAGTTGCATGTCCTCTAGGATGAAAATGTAAGTGGAGTGATATCTAAACGCAGTAAGACTTGTAACTGTAGATGAGAGTTTTCCAATCAGACGTATGCCCTTCAGCAGGAAAACATAATTACTCTGCAAAATGATGTCTGTAAGATTTACAGTAAATCAGGGAAGGATCTGGGAATAAATGCCCAGATCTTTCACTTTCTCCTTCTCCATCTCTTGATAATGTTGTTCTTGTTGTTAAGTGTCATTGAGTCAGTTCTGACACATAGTGATCCTGTATAGGGTTTCCAAGATCCGGCTGTTGAGCTTGAACCACCGACCTTGCAGTTCAAAGATAATGTTGTTGCTGTTAAATGTCATCGAGTCAGTTCCAACCCATTGCATCAACCAAGCCCCTTGACTTCTGGATTCATGTTATCAATTTGGATTGCAGGTTTGCTATGGTCAGAACTGAGTCCATGGCACTTAACAACAACAACATTATCTTTGAACTGCAAGGTTGATGGTTCACTCCTTGGAAACCCTATACAGGTTCACTATGGGTTGGAACTGACTCAGGGTGGAGACAAGACTTGTGGGGAATGTTGGGCAGAATGTTGTGCTCAATTTTCATAATAAACATCTCAAATGGACAACCAGATATAAGAGTCTGGAGATTAAAAACAAAAAAGGTACAAATATCAGAGTCATAAATTAACCACAACACAGCATTTTATAAGGTAAGTTATGGGAAACTTTAGTTCCTTGTTACTCTTGGTAGAAAAACAGTTTCCATCATATAATTCTTTGGGGCAGCCAAATATATGAGTATTGCCTTCATGGAGTTCCAGTGTGCCACTGTGGGCTTATGTGCTAGATTACAAAGTCAGTTTGAACCCCAAGGTCGGTGGTTCAAGCTCACCAGTCACTCCTTGGAAAACCTATATAGGGGTTGCTATGAGTCCAAGTGAACTTGATGGAACTTCAAAATAAATAACAATATATGAGTATTGCTTCTTGGTTATTCACAATATTTGTTAGTGTATTAAAGGACTCAAGAATTTCTGTACCAAAACTATGTTTATTTATTTATTTTTTATAACCAGTGATTCCCACATTCAATTAGCCATAGTCTTACTTCTTTATTCAACACTTATCAAGATCTTAAGGAACAAATGAATTCAGAAACTTCTGAACATAAATGAAGGACAGTTCAACCAAGAATGTGACTGAGGTTGTTTAGCCACCCAATGTAAGAAGAGCATTCACTCAAGAAAGAAAATATGGGGAAGAATATCATTGAATGACAGACAGCTGAAACCACAAATGAAAGACTGTGAAGAAGAAAAGTTATTCAAACAAGTGAAATGCTCAAGAGAAATTAATGACAAAAAGGGACTGGTGTCTATAGATTTGTAATTTATAAGATAAGAGTGACTTATTCTTTCCTCTAAATTTTCTCTCTGCCATGTAAATGACAGTATTGTTATTATGTGCCGTGGAGTCAGTTCAGAATCATAGCGACCCTGTACAGGGTTTCCGAGGCTATAAATCTTTACAGGAGCAGAAAGCCTCATCTTTCTCCCGTGGAACAGCTGGTAGTTTCAAACTGCTGACAGTGAGATTAGCAGCCTGATTAGTAACCACTATGCTACCAGAGCTCCTTAAGTGACAGTATAGAAGTCAGGAATCTTAATTAAAGGTTATCTGTGATATATATATATATATGTCAATCTTTCAGAGACCTAGTTTCCTCATCAGCAAGGCAAGCTGATATTTTTTAAGTAGATTATCTCAAATATATGATCCATCTCCACAATTCCATTTTTCCTCAAGTTGTTATTTCTTTCATTATTTTTTCTATGCATATTAACAGAATTGTTTAATACCTTTGTGTTACACAATGAACTAATCAATATTGCCAAATGCAAGTTAAGCATCTGTTTCAGAGTTTCCAGCATGCCAATATTTTATTGCTGATTCACAAGATTTTATTTTGAAATAATTTTAGATATATAGAAGAGTTGTAAAAATAATAAAGACAATTGACATAACCCTTGATCCAGCTTCCTCTAATGTTAATTAATATCTTACCTATCACTGGTACACTTACCAAAACTTCGTGCCTTTATAGTCCCCCAATTTTAGATAGCCAATGTCCACTTTACCCCCCACACTCTGAAACCAAACTCTTTCTTGAAAACTTGTAAGTTGGTCACTTCATGCCTTTATAGCCTTCTCATTTTAGATAACCAATGTATAAGTTTCCTGTCCTTATCAACCCTGTATACAGAAAGGATAAGATTGATCCTTGATGTGAAAACTCCTTCCCTCTCAGTCAGTATTTTGAGCTACTACATCCATAAGTATAGGTCAAGTCCATCAAATTGTAGCAATTTACACTTGTTTCCTTTATCCAAAAAAAGTTTTTTTCTAATCTTCTAATTAAGTTCTGATTATCAAGCCATAGAAGATAGGCTGAATGGGTACTATCTACAAATTTCAACATTCTTGTGCATCTCAGTTCGTATCATCTGGATACTTTGATTTCAGCTCTAGCCTTCTATGGCTATGTCCTTGTCCATGGACTCAGGAGTCCCTAGGTCTCACGACATTTTGGACCAACCAGCCCTTCATCTTATCTCTCTCATCTCCAAGTTGATGGGAGTCTATGGAATGTGGTCGAAGTTGGCCCATATCTTCATTGCTGCCTTTCCCCCTATTCCACTCACCATCAGACTAATACGGTCACCAGCAAGCTTACATGACTACTCATGTGTTCCCTTTGAGTTTCAGTCTTGGAGGGGGGTTTGTTCTGAAGAAACTTGATTGCTTGCTTTGATGGCTCCCTAGTGAACAACTTG